TGAACCCCAGCCCTGAACCCGCGACATACACTGTGCCTTGGTTGAGGTGGACACTGGCCAGTTTAACATCAAACGGAGACTCTTCATCTACTCACAGGCTGGGCTGCTGACCTTTCAAGTCACAGCCAAGACTGGATCCAGGAAACTCATCATAAATCACGTGGAGTCTTAGACCTGGATTTAAATGCACCCATGAGGCACTGTGCGAACACACGGACTGCAAAGCCAATGAAAATTATATTTTTCTACAGAAATAATATTTTTCTCAACAAATAATAATACTTTGTACCTCTCTGCAAGAGCTCATTTTCACATACACTTTTTAACTCCAATTTCTTGAGCCGAAATAAATGTTAGACCAGGAAAAAAAAAAAAATCCTGCTAACTGATGGAGAAGTTTATTCATTGCTACTCCATCATAGCAAAGAAGTCGACAAAGGTTATACTGTTGCAGTATTTATGAAGTGATAATGCTATGAACAAACCTTAAAAAGCAACTTTTTTTTTTTTTCCCAGGAGTATGATGGTAATTCTTAGCTCTCACAAAAAAAAAAGTCTTAAGGCAAGACAGCAGTACAATTTATTCTACAAAACTCTGCAGCTGCCACCTAGCCACCACAACAGAAACCGATTTCAGAACGTTTGCCTAAAAATCTGCCACTTCCCATGGCAGCAAAACCACCTTCGTTCTTTGGGAAAAAAGCATCACTTGAATGTGAGCAAGAAGTCAGTGACTATTGCAATGCTGTATTTCAGGCTCAGCTCTGGGTGTGACGTTACTGCTGCTATTGCTGCTTTCTCTAATGAAGATCTAAGGAATAAATCAGAGCAGTTATTTGGAAAACTAACAGTAGATTTTTTTTTTTTTCCAATCAGCAGAGGGTGCTGAAAACATTTAACCACAAAGGAACTGATAAGCAGCACCACAGCTTTAAAAAGTTTGACTTGGGAAGCAAATTGAGCACTCCAGCCTGGCCGGCCGCAGGACAGGGAGGCAGAGGAGGGCGTCTGGAAGCATCAGGCAAGTGCGAACATTTTGGGAGATATTTAGTTTCACGGCTCATTTCAAGAACACCGGTCAAAACCAACAAGCTGGATGACAAATGTGTTTGTTTCAAATATATTTTTAACATCTATATTTCGGTTTATTTAAAATATATTTTAACAAGTATTATACTTCATTTCACTGCACAATTTGACAGCTGATGTAGCTAAAAAGTTGTAGTTTCTTCCAATGCTTACTCCCAGAATTAGCAGCATCTTTGGTGACATGTTAGAAAATCCCCTTTGCATCAGCACTGCAACAAAAAAATAACTCTGAAAACCGAAATTCCTTTCTGGTAGTAACTGGAATGAGACTGCAAACCACACTCCAAACTGTCAGAAGTGCAGAAAGAAAAGCACCTCAGGGAAATGTTTCCCTCTCTCCTTTTCCAACTCTAGTTTTACGCTGACAGCACAGCCCTTCAAAGCAGCTCATTTCTGCTTTTTGGCTGTAGATTCTGCTATCGCAGGGATTTTTGTTTGCCTACTTCCCTCTTGGTTTTTTTCTCATCTGTTTCCACCCCGCAGCCCAGCTGCGGTTCCTCCTGCCGCGCTGCCCACGCTCCTTCCCAGGGCAGCGGCAGGGGACAGCCACCTGCCCTCTGACCACAGGGCTGACAAAGGAACACGCTGAGAAAGCAGCAGAAAGCACCAACATCACCAAAACCAGCGGTGTACGCTGAAAGGGAAGATGCCCGCAATCACATCTGTAAGAACAACTCACGGCACTCGGACTGTCCCTCTGACACAGAGCAGCAACCTGACAATACACAGAGAGCAATGCTTCAGCACGAAGGAACTCACAAAAACATCTGTGCTATGCTTCCAGAGCAGCAGCTCTGCAAAGTCAGAAGTCTGAAGTCCTGCACCTATGCAGGAACTCCTCGTTTTTGCTAAGAATTATCGCAGGAGGGACAGCTACACGGTTAAGTGCGGAGCAGCCTCAGCTCCTGGGTGTCTGCTCCACGCAGCAAAGCAGCCACAGCAGGGGAAACTGCTGAAATGTCAATGGGATGCACCATCAAAACAATGCAGGGAATAGCCAAAAGACAGCTCAGATGCAAAAGAAACTGCAATACTGCTGGGACCTTTCCCTTGCCATGTTCCCCCGCGGGACAGCTGGGACTAGCTCCTGCTCCAGAAGGAGTTTTGCAAAAACAGAGTCACGGGGGGGCTGTTCCAGGTGGCTAAAAGACACATTGCCGTTTAGTTTGAAGAATGGCATACCTGAGAGACAGCACAAGGGCACAGTTCAGGTCAGTTACTTAACATGGTGTTGGAGGTTTTCAATCCCCGATCCACCTGCCTCCTAGGAATGCCAGGGTATTGATCGCTTCTAGAGCGCCAAGCTCCAGGAAACCAGTCTCTCTTCAGAACTTTGTTACACAACTGACTCACCTGCCCAAATTCAACATTAGCATCTCCCTGCTGATCAAGAAAACCACTGGACTAGCACACACTAAAGATATTTGTGAAAATATTCTTCCAAGTCATCATTGCTGAAGTCCTATGCTCCCTCTCCCAAGGGTGCTGCATGGGTGTCTCCCATCTCAAACCAGTCCTCCCAATGCCACGGCCCCGCAGTGAGCCAGCCAGGGGAGCCCTGATGGCAGAACACCACCCTGATTAACCAACAGCTCATCCACACGCTCTCATCATCAGAGGAGCGGCAGTGCTGATGCTAGGGAGGGGAAAGGACCGGACAGGGAACAGTCTGTATGACCACAGAGATGCACTTACCCTGAGTTCCCACCAGTACCATTGGGATTTCACTAGTGTTTCGATAGTTCGCCATCCGGCTGTAGTAGTGGTAAACAGTCTGGAAGCTAATTTCATCTTCCAAGCTGAAGACAAATATAACAGCATCCACCCACATGGCAAACTGCGGAATAAAAATGGAAAAGGCATACTGTGAGAAAGGCAGCGAAGAGGCAAAACAAGGAAACATTCTTACCTTACTCGGAGGGCAACACGCAGAGAAACTTTGCTAGTGACAATAACCAAGGCATATAAATAAAAGTGGCATATTGCTCCCCAAACGATGAATCAACATCCATCACCCTGCAAGCGATGGGAATGCGGGATACACAAAGGTTGCTCCCCATGCTCACAACCACATCTCTTCCTCAGCCATACGTGGTGTTCCAAGCCCAACTACTATCAGTGCACAATGGGTTTGAGTCACATTAAAAAAAAACACTGCAGCCTCAGTGCAGCCCCTGATTTTGAGAATTATAAGTAAAGCACACTTATCTCTAGGCACCTGAGTGCCCTATGTGGGGTGTTATTCCCTGCGCTCTACATACATGCTGATCTTTCTGTTCATGCCAGGACAAGGGTTACGGTTGTGGGTTTTTTACTGTCACATCTTGACCTATTTCAAATTCTCAACTCTTCACCATACAGACACTCTAAAACTGAGCAAACAGCACCAACCGCCTCATTCAGCTTTCAGTGTGAAAGCCAACTCTTCTCTCCCGGCATGAGGAACCTGCTCAAAGAGATGCACGGACACAGGCCAGGGCAAGGCGCTGCTTGAGGGACCACGCAAGGGACAAAGTTCTAGCTCACAAATAGAATAAGAGTGTTTAAACACATTTAGCCTAACAGAAAACCTATACAGGACACTTAAAAAAAAGACTCTAGTTAAGCTTACCTCACTGCCTTTACTTTTCCCTCAGTCACTCCATTCCCACCCAAATTTAGACCAACAGAACCACATTTCAGCCGTCAGTACTCATATTTTTTCTTGTGTTGCTACTAGAAAATGCCCGGTAGGCTGGGGACACACCGAACATGCAGAGAGCTGCAAGAAGGTCCATCTGGGACACGCTTACATGTGTTTTGCTGAGTTTTACGAGACCAGTCGAGGTTTGTAAGCTCTTACTTCAGCCCTACCCGCTCTTGCAGTTTTGTTCCTGCTCCTGCAGTATTTACACTGCTTCAGTCACTGGGCTGTAGGTTCACACAATCTCAGCTCTTAGTAAGTCATCCCAAGGTGGTGTAAGCAAAAAAAAAAAACAAACCACAAAACACACAACAGTACAAATCCGGAAAGCTCTTTGGGTACTGAAGTTGCTGAGCTCATTCAATTTGCCTTTTTCAGAAGCAGGAGCTAGTAGCATTATTGCCTATTTTTCATAGAGCGTATTAGGACATAATTCAAGTTAACGTGCATATTCATGACTGTATTGTACTTGAAACCAAGCATGTCTCTTACGGTTACCGTGTAAAAATAGCCAAAAATGCTCTGAGGTTTTCAAGAGTCAGGAGGACAATCATCTAGACGTTAAGGACAGGACCATCTACACACAGCATAGTGACTGCCCAGAACTCCTCCTTACAGCTACAGCACCCTCAAAGAATCAGTTTGTAAGCTAACAGTCCCTCTAAATTTTCTTAATGCTTCAGCACTGTATAGCAGCAGCCTTGTAAAGAAGATTATTAAAAAAAAAAAAATCAAATCCAGAAGGTGGTTATTCAATGCAGTTCCTTCAGACACCGAATATTTCCAGTAATTCCTTATTTCTCTTTTTATATTAAAAAAAATTAAGCTTTGTGGCTATCAGACTTGTGATATTAAAAACCAAAGGAATTTTGGAAAACACACACAAGGTCTGGAAACCCAAGATGTCTTATCCACACCCCTGTGCACAGAACGGCTTGAAATAAGGACAGCTCAGCTGCTGGTACACAAATCCATCCCCGGACTTACTGCTGTGATGGAGCAGATCTGTTAGTTTGAGATAAGCCCAAACAAAAGCAAATTATAAAAAAAAAAATTCTAAATTTAAAAAAAAAAATAGCATGACAGCTCATTGTAGCTCAGCTGCTATGTTAATCATAATCAGCTAGCGCACCGCACCACCTTGTTCTATGAAATGAGCTTTTTAAATAATGATTTTCAACTCCGAACAATCTTATTTCAGACAAGACAGACCATAGATCCACAAGGTGAGTCTTCAGGGGAGTGTGTTTTGCCTCCCTCCCTGCCAAAAAAAAAAAAAAGGAAGGGGGACAGTAAACTGGGACTTGAGCTGCAGCCATCGCCTGGGGAACACTCCCTGACCCCGTGCCGCTGAGTGCCGGGAAGA